GAGAGAGAGAGAGAGAGAGAGAGAGAGAGAGAGAGAGAGAGAGAGAGAGAGGGAGATGGCGGGAAGGAGAAAGGAAGGTAGGGAATGGATCACTATTGAAACTATGATCTTTGTATAATTGTAAAGCGCATGACGTATTTTCTTAGTTGAAAATAATTGCGCCAAATCAATGCAATCTATCATTATTTTATTAGTCCTCATTCTCTGTCTAAAGCGTCCAGATGATAGAAGCTTCACAAGAAATAAAATGCAGTCACTCATTACCAGCTCTCCGACACGCCTGCGAGACTCCAGTCCAGTGGTGTGAAAACATCCCCAACGGATACGGGAAGGTCTTATTGAGACACAGTTCCCACAATGAACAGTGTTATTTATTAGAAAGTGTTTTGTTGTTGTTGTTGTTGTTGTTGTTGTTTTTGTGTTTTTTTAGTAGAGTTTTTTTCGGCGCTGGCAAATGCATAAGGTCATATGAGCGCCAAGGGGTGGATGTCAACAGAGAATTCCATGCAGGGAATCAACATACAAAAGAAGTAGAGGAAAAAATGACGATAGTAAGGATTAGGAAAGAAAAAGCAGCAGTTCCCTGTTTCAGTTCAGGTTCAGTTATGAGCATGGCATTGATGAATCAGCCCATTTACAATTCTACTGCGCATAAGAACATGTTAAGAATTCTACTGCGCATAAGAACTATTTGATTACTGACGCCATTAATGAATGAGAGTCACTTCTGAGCAATGAAAATAAAGTAAGTATAGAGAAAAGAACGTAGTCCAACACCAGAGGAGAGTTAGGGCCTCTGAATGTTTGACAGTCTATTACGCAGGCCTATAATTTTATCTGGCCCACTCAAGGCAAAAAGTAATGAAATTTTCACATATTATTTAACGAAAAGATCATACAATATCCATTTCAAACACACAAATCTCTAATACTCCAGCAAACAATTTTATTTCATATAAAATCTTTCATTTGTTTCAAATATCATGATTAAGGTCAGATGAAGAGATGACATTTCATAATGGTTAATCATTGAGCATTTTGTGAAATATAAATTAACAAGAACAGCACGTTTTAAAAAACTCATCAGTACATTTTTTTTTTAATCATCAGATATATATATCTGAGGACAAATGATACAAGCTGTTCTTTGGTATTCTGTAAAAATGTTATGATAAGTTAAATTCAGATTAATCATAAGTTCAATCCTCCGCTATGGGAGAGCACTTTTATCTGAATAAGCTTCTTGATATTAATTGCTTGAATTTTGCTTAAAAGCTGCATGCAGCATTTATTTTATTGTTGACCAAATCAAAACCATGAATTTTGAACATTTTAGTTTATATACTATCTTACTAATAATTTAAAAAGATGTCTTCAGTCAATGATAAATAAATCTATTCAAGTATCACATAAATATTAACATCAGAGAGTACTTACATATTATGCTGTGCATATGCAAAGAACCCCAGAGACAAAAGTAGAATCAGTTTTTTTTCTTCTTAGTGACTCTACATTCTGCAAATTCTCAACATTAATCTTGACTTAAGAAGAATTTTGAGCATCAAGAAAGGTTAAGTACATCAATTTGACTGGAATAAATGCACAGCAAAGCAAGTCTTGAACTGTCTTGTATGAACTGCCAATCTCTAAATGACCAGTAGTTCCTGTCACGATATTGTGGGGCGGATTCAATTCCCTGATTACAAAAAATTATACATTAACACACAATATACACTCACAGACTGATAAAATGTTACCTTTTTATATTATGCACTGATAACATCATTCTTGTATGAGGCTGAGTAAGAAGAAGTCATCAAGTTCAAGGTACAGAATTCACAGGTCATTCAAATATTGAACACAAACGCGTCTGAAAAACTTATTCAAGTACAAAAATAGGATATTTTAAAAAGAATTGGATAAGAAACAGCTTCAAACATCAGTGACAGGAAAAAAATGTTTCTAGATCAAAAAGAAGTATAATTAGAATCTAATCAGAATAATTTTTATTGTAAGTATAAAAACATTGGTAAATATAACAAAATATTGAATCACAAATGAAATGGATGTCCTATTACTCATTAAAACAACAAAACTTTTATTTTGTCAGACTTCTTTAAAAATTTCACAATTTTATGCAAGGAAGTGAAAGTGTGAGTATGTGAGAGAAGGTGTGTCAGTCTGAGCAAAGTATGTGTGCATGAATGTGTGTGTACTAAGAGAGAGTGAAAGGTGAAATGGAATCTTGGTGAAAACAGGCGCTCATCAAGGTAATGGATTCGAAGAAACCAGTACTTTTCTACCCACTGGGCAACTTCTATGTATGATTCTTTTTTTAGCTCAACAGTTTTTCTGTCCATTTGAAAATACATTTCTAAGTGAATTTTACAGAAAAACATTGATCAGAGACACAAAAATCAGCAGTCTCCAGGGATTCTCAAGCTTTGGAAGTCACCAAACTTTGGCAACAATTTTCTCACAACTGTACCTGCGCTACCAAGCGACCCCAACCTCCATTAAACGCAAATAACTCAAACTCTATTCAAGATAGATGGGTATTTCTTTCATTAAAAACAAGACAAATGAACAAAGTTTTAAGATGATACCAATAACTCCATATTATAGGCCCAAAAACTGACGAGCGCCTGATTCCACCGAGTAGTTATACAGATATCTGTGTTTATGTAACTTTATACCGGGTGCCCACCATGGCTGGATCGGGCCGATCGCCCGACTCAGTCGTCTGAAACTGAAAACAAACGCGTTTGTTTTTGAGGCGACCGAGTCAGGCAATCGGCCCGATCAGCGGCCAATCCCATCCGTAGTGGGCAACCCGTATTACCATACAGTCCATCGAGCATTCATAAATTTAATGGCCAATACAGTATTCTGGAATAGGCCTACAGATGAACGTACTCTATCGGCCATCTGTATGAGACCTATAAGAGTATAGATGACGACTTCTCATTTTCTCTTTTTTACGTTTTTGTCATTATAATGAAACTGTGCAAAATGGCCCTGTGTCTTTTCTCCTTGACAATGAGTGGCCATCCCTGGCAATTTCGATTGTACTTTTAATAATGCTGGAAACAATTCCACATTGCAAAAAACGAGCAAATTATGACAATGAAAATCTCACAAGATAAGCCTTCAGAATTGACATTATAATGTATGGAAATAAAAAAATTAAAACCATAGTCTCCAACATTTCTAAAAACATCAACCTGTACCCAGCTTATACCAAATTTTATAAAACCACAGTTTAGATGAACAATAACTTTCCACAAGCAAATAATAAAAGTAAGAAATTTTTGTATGCAGTTATCCCCTCCCTGAATCGAATCAGCAGTTCAAAAATAAGGGGACACCTCTCTAATTTTTTGCACAACAGTTTCTTTTACCAATCCACATTTATTGCACATCACATGAAGCATTCTTAATAGGACTCCTGTTTGAAACATCTTATAAAAAAAGGCCAATGCCCTTCAATGATCACATTATAACAAACAGGATTGCCCTTACAATGCAGACATAAAAGTGGTTGTTGTTCGGTTTTTTGTCATTTTTTTGGGTAAATTTTTTGTGGGGGTGAGCAGGGTGGGTTAAGTTTTGGTACCATATCTTTTGACAGCATTTGCCAAAAAATGAACAGATCAGCACAAAAAAAAAGAATTACAAAATTAAGTCCCACCCCTCACACTTGGTGTAGTTCAGTATCAATTGTTAATACACATTTTTGCGGTTGCAATTTGCACAATTTCAACAATTACACTTTGGGGTAGACTTTCAAAAGATCTTTCCTTGGACATGTCTTTCAGGTTGTCTGCCATGAACTTTTTACACATGGCCTCTAGTTCAGCTGAAATGGAAGGCATTTCAAAAACAGACTGTCAAAACAATTTAAAAAACAAAACAACAAAAAAACATATTGTGTCTCCATAAAATTATAACTCATCTAATTGGCATAATACATGAGGGTACTCTATCACTGAAGGCCACAGTCCTTAAACTGTCCCTCTATTGACAATAAAAACAGAAAAATAATATGAATTTGTTCATACTTCTACAAAAGATGCAAGTTTTAAAAGTTACCACTCAGTGTTGTGTACATGAGCAAAGTATTTCTTATATAATCACTTCAAGTCAAATAATTTTGTTTTGGCGAGCACAATCAACACAAATAGCTGCAAAAGAGTACAAAGAAAACATTAAAGTAGGAAGGTAGAACACAATAACCTCTATCTCCCCAAATACAATGAAAGTCTACACCAGGTGATTATCTTCAGACTATGACCACATCATATTTGTTAGTTTTAGTAAGCATTTTAAGGCCATCTGCAGCACAATTAGGTCATATAAGTGCAGAAAATCAGAGGTTTTACAAGAGAGGAACAAACACAAAAAAAGGAGGAGGAGAGATAAAGACGATGGATGTTTGATAAGATCGATAAGACAGAAAGAGCAGACCACACCTGAGCACCACCCAACCACCCATACATCATATTCAAAATCACATGTAAAGATGTTTTAAACATGTTGGAGCTCAAAAACCGACCAAACTGTGGAATACTTTCTCCTGAAGTGCAGGACTCATTAAGCCCTATGACGAGAAATGTGGCCAACACAATTAACACTTCCAGTACAGAAGAAGCTGTACAGATTAGAAGAGAAACTGACCATGATGACCCAAATATAGGATAGAAACTTGAAGTGTCATCAACTGTGATACGATCAAGAACAAGAAGAGAAATGTATACTTTTCAGCATAGTACATGTGTGTGTGAGTGTGTGAGTGTGTGTGTGTGTGTGTGTGTGTGTGTGTGTG